TAACCAGGTGGGGTTGAACCCTAGACCTTCTCCTGGTGACCTATGGAGCATTACCACTGTGCTATAGACCCATAGGTTATAGTATAAGATTTTTATTATATATCAATATACTTTTCACTATATAATAGTTTTGTACCTATTTTTTAAACATATTTTTTAAAAAATAAAGTTTACTTTTAATTATAATATAGTTCATGAACTGTGAATTGGAAAATATCATGTTTACATGTATATATATCAGCAAACAAACCACAAAAAAGTTCACCCAAAATCACGTATTTATTTATTTCTTTTGATGCAATTCTATTTCCTTTTGCAAATCTAATAGTATATTGAACCTTAACCGAATTGCTAGAGGATCATCCTCTGACCTAGTAAGATCAAATACAATAAATTCATTTTTTCAAAGGTAACTATTAATAACCATTGATGTATCTTTAACATTATCTGTATATCATCCAGCAATCTTGAACACATCTTGATAACTACTGTCTCCGTTAAACATTACTAACTGGGAGATATTTTCATGAATAATAATTAGAACTTTGTGATATTTTTGTGTTACATAGATTGGACTTATATTTTGATGACGCCCATGTGTAAAGAATGGAATAATTTGATTTTGTATTGTTTCTAGAGTAACACATAAATCCTCAAAAATAATTACAGTACTTCTCTTAGGTAAAAATAATTTTACACTAGGAATTTTTTCTGGTAATATATATCTAAATCTAATATTCTCATAATAAGATGCTTTAGGATTGCTTGCAATTATTCCATACATGTATCTAATGAATACCCATTTTGGCTCATCAGAATGGTAACTACATACTATCAAATCATCATATTGTTATGGTGAAATACGGCGAATCTGTCACTTCTGTTCTGTCTATGTCATACTACGTTGGAGAATGGTTTCTCCTCAAAAGATACATATATATTTGGCTCGAGTTTAACAATGATGCAGGTCGATCCATCGATCGTGCATCATAACTGCCAACCTCCTGCGTGGTCACTCCTTTGTTTAGTGACACTCTCAAGATAGATAGCCTTTTTAGTACACAGTGCCTATCCTCCTTGATTTTCATATTTTTATATCGTTATCTTATTTTTATACTTTTTATGCCTAATATAATTTAGCCAGCTTTGAACTTATTATCCAACTTTATACTTGTTGTCTATATTGTACTTGATAATTACTCGTTATGCCTGCTAGATATTTAAAGATACTAGAATATACTAGAAATACTAGATATCTTTACATATCTATCATATTACTTTTTATATTCTACTTTATTTTACTTTTATTTTTCTCATTATTTATATAGTTCATTTTTTACTTTAACAGTATAAAATATATTGTGACCCACCTTTTTTAGCTTTGTATATATATTCAGCTTTATTGCTGAGAAAAAGATTTGCCAAGATATTAGTTTTACCTGATCTACTTTTCCCCGTAACTATCATTTTAAATGGCTATGATGGGCTGGCAGGATGGGACTAAATTCGGGATGATTTATGCTTTATGATTTCATCCATATTCATAAGGTAAAGTTTCATTTTCTGCATGTTTATTTCTATGAAAAGATAATATATATTTCTTAATAATTTGTAGCAAATATTTGTTCATATTTAAGGTTAGACCCTCATTATATTCTGATTTGTGTTTGTATAAAAAAAGCCTATATAGAATTCATATAATAAATATCACTATTATGACAAAGATGCCTAGCTTGATAATTGGAGATATTTGATACTCATTATTAACAAGAGATTTGCCAGCACCTAATGCCCCTCCTATTTTAATATCTTGAATTGAAGGTTTTGGGTTCTGCTTATTTGCAATAATTGGTATTGTTTTGTTTTTTCTTATTACTAGATCATTTTTTATATTGGATATATTATTAGTTAAATATTCTTAACTAGTTTAAGAAGTATCTATTTTTTCTGTCTGTTCTATTTTCCTTTTACTTATAAGATATTTCGTGAGACTTTTTAATTCAGATGTGTCTCCAGAATTTGATATATTTTTTATTGTGGAAACAATAGGGCTCTGCCCTTCATCACCTTTATAAATTATTGCAGAGCAATGATTCAAAGATCTACAGATTCTGATATAACCTGTGATTTCAGATGTTTCAATTCAGCTTCAACATGTTCCAATTCAGTTATTTTAGATTTGAGAGACAAGTTCTCAGTTTCTTTTTTTGATAAGTTTTCCTGAATCAAAAATGTGTCTTTTCAGGCTGATGCTAACTTACTCTCTAATATCTTAATAATAGCCTGGAGTGATTTTATTTCTTTTAATTGGATATCATACCTGGCTTTATACTTATTATGGAAAATCTGTGATCAGGTAAGTTGGGATGTAAGGTTAGTATTCCTACTTTGAAGTTGTTTGCCCTTATTAATAATTTGTGAAGTGTGAGTATATAATTCTTAAAAATCTTTACTATAATGCAATGAATCCTGATTCCACTTCTTTTTTTCTCGGTTAAAATCTCCTTCTCGCTTCAAATATATATATTCTGCAGATTCTTATATTCATTAGCAAGATCAGAGTTAGATTTGATACTATTGCATAATTCTTTTTTAAGCTCTAATTTATTAATGTTACCAAGCCAATGAGCTTTATTCTCAATATCTTTCAAGGTAAATACATTGCTATAGTTACTAATATATAAAAAATATATATATTTATTGTATTATATATAAAACACTTTGGAATGAATAAAAATATTATCGAATGATCTTTAATAATATAAATCTATGATAAATGAAAAATTTCAAATAGATTACAATATGTTTATATCTATGTTTATATCTATTTATATATATATATATAAATCTATTCTTATAAATCCTTTTACTTTACTTGTTAATAATTTTTATCCATCTTGAATGATAAATATTTATCTTTAACATTTTATCCCAATAATAAATAACTATCTTTAATATTTTTTATCCCTCTAAAATTTTCAAAAATCTAGACCAATGAATATCCCATTTTTAAAAACATATTATTGTCGAAATGCACATTATTTATCTCGTAAGCAGATTGAAGAAATTAGGAGGTTCAAGAACAAAGTTCCTATATATAAAGTGATTAGTAAATATCATATATGTAAAGAGCACATTCTTAATTTATGGAATAATTATGAGCATCTTCAACAAGAAGAAAATTATAGACACACTCTAGAAACCCCTATCGACACTTTAAATAAGCATATTAAGAAAAAAATCGATACCTAAATTGGTTCAAATTTCTGACTCACCTGATGTTATTAATAAGGGTGATACATCCAAAGATCTGATAAAAAATGAAATTACTGAAGACAGTTACAAAGTAGCTATTTTACCAATTGAAGAATCATTTTCTAAAGATGTCTTGGATTTGTTTAAGAGAACTAATAGTGGTATAGAAAAAATTAGAGAATCTGGTCGTGCTCTTAGGCTTTAGCTTCATATTGTTCAAGTAAACTATTATAGTATCCTATTATTTCTAAATTCGATTGAATACAAATAATAATACCTTTTCAAGCTCTTTTATTCGATTTTTATACTTTCATAATTTATATAGTTAATTTTTTTTTTAATTCTTTACTAGATAAAGAGTTAGAGTCTTGAGTTTCCAATTCATCGGAATGCAATGTCTCTGCGATCTCTGTCTCTTTTGGTGGATCTTTCACTACTGGGACCTTGCTGAATGTTGGAATTATATAAGACTTACCATGAATATTTATATGAAATTGGTTATTATTTGGATCAAGAATATTTTGAACTTTTCGAATATTTGACATGCCTAAAAATAGTGTTTGTTTAGATTCTCCATTATCAATATGAACAAAATTTCCAATAACTATAACAGTCTTATTTTCTTTATCCTTCAAGGTAACTGGCACATCCGTATACCATCCTAATTAATTGGTAATATGTTTGGAATTGCCCTTTATAGTAAAGTCAGATGGTTTATCAGCCCCCATTCAAGCGCCTTAATTGCAGGATCATTTATCGCACCAAATTCAAATCCAGGATCTAATAAAAATTCAGAAATCGATAAATCATTTATATTACAATGTAAGTACTGTAAAGATAAAAACCATTCATCTGATTTTTTCTCTTGAACTTTTTGAGACAGACATATTTTATGTATTTCTGGTAAAAGCTTTGGCAATTGCTGATCATATGGTTCATTTACGTGTTTTTTTTTTCAAAATCATTATCAAGCCATATGCCATTTTCTTCTTCATATCCACTATTATTATCATCTTCATATTGAGGATATAAAGATTTAAGAGGTGTAAAATAAAATCTAGTAAAATTAGATTTTGCAATATTATCTTTATTTATATTTATTTTCTAAAATTCTTTGATTAATTGGTTCACAGATCCACAAGTTTCATTCAGTCCTTTTTCCACTCTTCCTATTCTATTATTATGTGTTCTTTTTATATCATCACTATGCTTTTTAT